CCGAACATGACCGATAAAATTTTTTCATTTTGGCAACGGTAATCTATTTTTTTGCCTATTAAGGATAACTTCACCAAAGGAAAAACAATGCCAGGGTTTTAGTTTAATCATTATAGGGATTTTATATTAACTTTCAATTCTGAAAAAGTTATTAATTACGAAATTTATAATTAACGTTGAAATTGGGATGCAGATTTTTCGAATACGGATTATTGTTCATTGATGTATCCCAACATCAGATGAATTTTTTCATTCCTCAATATTTACATTTGATATGTTTAAATAATTTTTTTTGTTTTTATGTCAGAGTGACGAAAAGCGCGCGGAAGCCAGACTACCCGCTTTTGGCTCTATTTTCAGGGTTCTGTGAAAATTATATATAATCGACTTACAGTTCCGGGAGTCATAACTTTTTTTACGCAAAAGTTTGAAAATTTTCCCCATTTTTTTTCAGTTAATTGTTTATTACTTTTGTAATTTTCACCGGAGCGTTTTCGTACCTTTCCTAAAACTTTCTAGGCAAAAATACGAATCGAATGACACCTTGGTCGTAATTTTTGGCAGGGCTGAAAAATGTTACAAAAAAAAGTACATGTGAACTAGACTATATATGGTCAAACCACCAACACTGACATAAAAACTTGGCAAGTTGAATCGGGTGTCACACCAATAGGTGGTTCCACTCATGTTTCATTTGCGTTTACGCAGCTATTTTCATCAAGTACTTTCTTGGTTTTTCCCATTTTGTCTTATCAGTTCAAAGGGTAAGGGAGCCAGGTTCCAGCCTGACCAAATTCAAGATGACTTCCCATTTTGTCTTCAATCGAGGACCGCCTGCCCGGTACTGACGATGTCCAATAGGCTGAAACAGCTGTCTACCGGTGGCTCTTAAATTGAAATCATTATGGAAATGATCCAAAAGTACTTATCTCTTCATCTTTTGATTTTCATGGAATTATTTTACAGCAGCTTGACTGCATTAACCTTTCTAGATTTCATATCATTTCTAGAAACATGTGGATTCGTTTGCTGATGGCATTTTAGGTTAGCTTCCCAAATTTCTGCTACCGCAGTTGTCGGTTGAATGGTCAAACCACCAACACTGACATAAAAACTTGGCAAGTTTACTTGGGTGTCACACCAACAGGTAGTACCACTTATGTTTCACTTGCGTTTACGCAGCTATTTCTATCAAGTACTTTCTTGGTTTTTCCCATTTTGTCTTCAATGGAGGACCCGCCTGCCCGGTA